AAAGCACGTCAACCTGCTACTGATTCATGATCATTCCAATAAAGCAGGACATGAGAACACCGCTCCAAGTAGACACCATTACTTTGGATTAAAGACATGTCTAGGCTCCTTTCAACTCAACTGAGCAAAGAAAATGGACGTAAATATTTTTGCGACCGCTGCTTGCACTACTTTAGGTCTCAAGCTAAACTAGATAATCACATTGAAATGTGTATAAAAATGAATGAAAGTGCTATCAGAATGCCTAAAGAGGGAACAAATATTTTAAAATTCAAAAACCACAAAAATAAAGAGAAAGTGGCTTTCATTGTTTACGCTGATCTCAAATCGGTTTTAGAGCGAACAGGAGACCCCCAGAAGCCCCAGCATCATATTCCTGCTTCTGTTGGATATTACCTCAAGTGTTCTTATGACAATTCTTTATCCTTTTATCGTTCCTATCGAGGAGAAGACTGCATGGATTGGTTCGCCTATGAGATGAAGCAGTTGGCAGAAGATATAACTACCGTATTCTGGTGTCCTTATGATATTCATATGACTTCAGAACAAGAAGCAGATTTTCGAAATGCCACACATTGTCACATTTGTGAGCAGAAATTTGGACTTGATGATGTGAGAGTAAGGGACCATAATCACCTAGTTCCAGAAAAAAATTATAGAGGAGCTGCTCACGATTCTTGTAATATAAATTATAAGGACAGTCCTCCCACTGTGCAAAAAAACATACTAGTAACGTTTGGTCGAAGGCCTATCGACATCTCAAAGACCGTCTTAAAGTCGTTATATGTCCACCAACATAACAATCACATTAGTGACGTTAATATAAAGTAGCAAAGTTTAACTTATGATGTAGAAGGTTCGTTAAAAGTAACAATGTCACATAGTTATGTTATTATGACGTACAAGTGCTGTGTTCGCAGAAACGTCGCCGGGAATACAATATTTTAACGTTAATGAACCTCCTAAGGATGTTTCTTGCTCAGTGGGCTGTGGTGCCTGTTGTATTCCATAATTTGAGTGGTTACGATGCAAATTTTGTAATAGCTGACATTGCCACTAAAATGAAAGGAACTATCGACTTACTGCCCATAACGAAGGAGAAGTACATTTCCTTCACTAAACATGTTGACGGAACTTGTGTTCAGTTCAGATTCATCGACAGCTTTCGTTTTATGAATTCCTCTCTGGACAAGTTAGCATCTTATTTAACCGAATTCCCGAATCTAAGGTCTCAATTCTGTAGCGTGGCCGAAGATCAACTTTATCTTTTAACTAAGAAAGGTGTGATGCCATATGATTACTTCGACTCGTTTGAGCGTTTCAGCGAAACCCGGCTACCTCCAATTGATGCTTTTTATAATAAATTAGACGATAAGGCCTGCCCTCGCAGACTCTATCTTCGTGCAAATCTTGTGTGGAATGAGTTCAATTGTCGAGACTTGGGTCAGTACGTGGATCTATACATGATGACTGATATTCTCCTTCTCGCAGACGTATTTGAACAGTTTCGTACCAGCTGCCTCAGAACTTACAATCTTGACCCCGCACACTATTACACCCTGCCAGGATTCACTTGGGATGCCATGTTGAAATATACGAATCAGGAGTTGGAACTTATCACTGACCCTGACATGTTTTTGTTTGTTGAGCAAGGCATCCGAGGAGGTCTCAGTCAAGTTTGTTCAAAAAGAAGAGCTCATGCAAACAATAAATATATTCCTGATTATGATCCTTCGAAAGCCGATTCCTTCTTGATGTACTATGACGTCAATAACCAATACGGATGGGCTATGTCTCAAGCTTTACCATATGGAGGTTTTGAATGGACTGACACCAATATCGACGTCACGGCTATTCCCGATGATGCAGAAGAAGGATATATTTTAGAAGTCGATTTGTATTATCCACAACACCTCCACGATGTACATAAAGATATTCCATTTTGTCCTCAACACATCAATCCTAAGACTGGAAAGCCTCCCAAATCTGTACGAGAACACACCAAATTGATGGCAACCCTACGCTACAAGGAGAAGTATGTCATTCACTACCGAGCCCTGAAACAGGCGTTGAAACATGGTTTAGTGCTGAAACAGATACATCGAGTTCTCAAGTTCCAGCAAGCTACGTGGTTAAGATCATACATAGACCTAAACACTGAACTCCGAAAACAAGCAAAAAATGTGTTTGAGAAGAATTTGTTCAAGCTCATGAACAACGCTGTTTTTGGTAAGACAATGGAAAACATTAGGAAGAGAGTTAATGTCAGACTTTTGACAGAGTGGGTGGGAAGATATGGTGCTGAGGCGTACATTTCAAAACCCGAGTTCAAGAATTGTATAGTCTTCAATGAAAATTTGATTGCTATAGAAATGAAAAAACTGGAAATCTATCTTAACAAACCCATTTATGTTGGTCAAGCTATTTTAGATTTAGCTAAGACAACATTATATGACTTTCACTACGACTATATGTCCAACACATTTCGTGATTGCTCAGTTCTCTATACTGATACTGACAGCTTGATTTATGAGATTGTTGGTCAAGATCCATATGAGGTTATGAAGAAGGACTGTCATCAACGCTTCGATACCTCCGACTATAAATCGAATAACATTTATAATATTCCTCAAGTCAATAAGAAAGTGCTGGGAATGTTAAAAGATGAGCAAAACGGAGTACCGATGATCGACTACGTTGGTCTGAGATAGAAACTCTACTCAACAAGAATTCTAACTACGATTGATGACATTATGAGTGAACGAGAAGAACTGATGCATGAAGGATATGATGATTTTGAAATTGATGATATTCTGAGGAATTTTGGTATAACGAAAAAGGCTAAGGGTGTGAAGTCGTCTGTTGTGAAGACATCAATAACCTTCACTGATTATGTTGAGTGTTTGGATAATTGGAAGGAAAAAACTGTCACTCAGAATTTGATCAAATCAGATAAACATCAAGTTTATTCTATCATACAAAAGAAGATTGCTCTCAGTCCGAATGATGATAAGAGATATATAATTCCTGGAACTGATGAAACGTTACCATGGGGACACTATTCAATCGATGATGATGTTGTGGAATATGGCTCATAAATTGATGGTGATATCTCTAGAATTATTTTGTTTATATATATATTTACACTAACGAATAATAAATATTATCATGTATCAGTACTCATTATTTTTCCAACCTGTCTTTCCTCCCTATAAATGTTCACCCCGTTCTGTACTCCTACCAACATGGTCAACTGCGGTGACCTTGAAAAAAGAGCCATTTTTGCTATTTTGTCGACCTTAGATTTTCTTATGGAGATTGAGATGGAGAAACTGAATTGAGCCTTCATGCTCTGGCTGTATATGAAAAAAGAGCCATTTTTGCTATTTTTGACCTTAAATTTTCTTATGGGAATTAACATGGGAAAACTGTCCAAATTGGTCCCGTGCTCTTGCTGTACATATACTGATATAGATGAACAATCCTCTAGTTTCAGAGTTTACTACTCCAGAATAATGTTTGCGATTCAGGGAACATATAAATTGTACTGAAAGCTTAATATATTTCACCAAAAGAGACTATTCTTAGACTGTATACCAGGGTTGACTGAATTGACTGAATGAATTCTGATTTCAAGCTGAGTAGTAGTTTGTCAATGAGCTGAATGAGCTGAGCCTTATGATTGAGAAATGGTGGAAACCGCGATGTGCGGGTATCTAGACTACTGAACTCATGTCATGTGTGCTAAATATATTTTCAGAAATCCAACTCGGAGAAGAATTTATGGAGTAACTAATATCACACTATGTTTAAAACTTCGTCTAGGACCAAAAGTAGGCTGATAAAAATTAATACGTAAAATGCGCAGGAAAGTAAAGAATAGAATATACTTCACCCCCATGTTATACATATGCATTTTCAGTCTCTTTTGAATGAAATGTCATTTTCGAATAATTTATTGATGAAAGTGACAAAGAAGTATAGGTATACGCTAAGTATACGCAGTATAACTTATAGGCACGTTATTTTCACTCTCGCATCCTATACATATTTTCTATTTGTGGCAGAGTAATAATTACCCCGAAAACTCCCAGATACCAATTTCGAATAGACTCGGATCTTCATTACAAAACTCGTACACCATATATTGGATCCGTCATCTTGAATATCCCAATTCTGACGAAATAATTATAATCTCCGACCCTGGAAATCCCCAGATACCAATTTTGATTTTTTGATTAGAATCGGATCATAATTACAAGTTTTGTTCGCCATATTGGATCCGCTATCTTGAATTTCCCAATTTTGACAAAAAATCATAAGGTTCGACCCCGAGAACCCTCAGATACCAATCTTAAATATATAGAATCAAATCATAATTAGTTCATTTTGCTATATATTGGATCCGTCATCTTGAATTTCCCAAGTTTGACGAAACAATCATCACCTCCAACCCCGGAAAACTCCACATACCTTCCAATTTTGAATAGAATCGGATCATAATTACAAAACTTGTTCGCCATATGATCTTCCTCAAAAAGTAAATACCCTGTACATACCTATCACTAAAATTTTGAATGATTTTCTGTAGCGCCCATGGATGAGACGTAACAGCAATGTCAGGGATGCCAGTAGACAAAACTAAAATCTCTAGATCATTAAAAAAGAATGCAGCTAGCTATGATCTGTCCGTACCCTGTTGAGATGACTTTCATGTCAATTTCCATCAAGGGACCCTAGCTGAGACGAAATGGATGTCTGGTACATTCCACTCGATTTTAGTACAATTCAAAAGTGATTTCAGTACAATTAGCTTTTTTTCTTCTGGCAACACTGCATGTATTAAAAATTTCATTTTGTCATAGATCAACTAAAATTCATTGTCATATTGGTTTGGTAGTTTGGTACGTTTGGTACCATAATTAACAAACGTACATTAATTACAGTAATTGTAGTATATCTTATAGTATACTATTACTAGTAATACCACTTTCTTTCAGTAGGTACCAGGCGAATGGATTATATTTCTACTGGTCTGGAGACTAATCCCAAAATCGAGGATGATTCAACATCTAAACAAATTCTTGAGTATTATAGGAAATATTCACAAAACCAAGCATTAACTAAATATTTCTCCGGCACTCCACTATCATATCTCCCAGAGATCAAAGATGATTATGTGTTCAATGAATTACCGGATTCTGATATTCCTAATATTATTATTGAAAGTGATGTTGATATCATTTTGGTAACAAATCCCAGTACATCAAAAGAAAATGAACAATCTGCTTCATCTCCTACTAGTAGTGTAAATCATAAATTGGAATGGGACAGTCTAGCAGATATTGGCTATACAAATACCAACATTACAAAACAATTTCATATCAGCAATTGTTTATTCCCTTCATTATCTGAAAAGAAAGATGAGACTCAGAAATATAAAAATACTCCATCTGATGGTATGGATAATATAAAGTTAATTATTTTTCCTTATTCAAGTGGTTCAGAAGAGGTTGAAAATCTCAAGGATTATTCCTCCTCATCCTCATTTCCAGAGGATAAAAAGATGTGTTCTTCAACCTGCTCAAATACAAGTATATATAGTATGAATATTCAAAAACCATGTACCTCTAGTTCCCAGTCAACATCATCTGAGAAAATATCCCATTTCAAGAACACACTATCATATTTGAAGAAAAAAATTGGATTACCAGATGCCCATTCAACACCAAATATTGATGAAAAACATAATGATGATTTTACTGGTATTTCTGAAACACCAATTGCTAAACAAATTGAGAAACCAATCAAAAATATATTGACCAATGAAGATTACTATGGAAGCTTTGATATTCTTGAAAATGAACCTGGAGATGGTCACTTACACAATATAACACAACTACAAGAACAAGGAAGTGATGGAGTAAATACTGTGGTCAAAAGAGTTATTAATCTGTGTCAAACTGAACCACTTGCATTAGAATGCATACCAACTCAACCTAAATTTGAAAATAAAAATATGCAAACTAAATCCAAGTATCAAATTAATGTAGCTGTCCAAACTCTGCCCAGTTCAGAAAAAAATAAAGGGAGAACTGCAAATCAGGCTCAACAAAATGTTAATCAATGTCTTATGCATGAAAATCATTCTGAAACTAATAAGATCAATCTCAAAAGTACAGGAACTGGTTCTGAAATATCACATTCTGACAGTTTCAATCCCATAAAGAAGGATCCATTGAAATTTGGTTCTGAAATAGATGTCCATGTAAACAAGGTGGAATTATCCAATGATGTTGGAAATAATGGTGATGAGAATAGCAATAACAAAAACAATAATATAGATATTGATTATTGCCAGATTTCTTCAGAAGATATTCATATGGCTAATGCAATTGTTTCCAGTACTATTGAAAACCCAAGTGATTACATTGAAAAATATATTCATCTGTTCCAGAGGCTTCTTAGATCTAAGAAATATGATTCAGTAACAAAGAAACATTACTTGAAGAAAATTATCAAGAAAATTACTGAATCAAAATATCTTGAAGAGTCAAGTACAAGTTCTGATTTGTTCCTCCCAAAAAAATATAATTCAAATTCTCAAACTCTTCCTAATGTCAAATTTGCTACCAGCACTGACTCTACTGAAGAAAAATCATTGAGAAATAATAGTTCAAAATGTATTACCAGTGAAGGAAAGTTGCACAAAAAGAGAACATTTCAAATAAAATCTTCTCATCAGGATATCATGCCAAATGCATCTATCCCCATGAATGAAATATCAAATTCTGATGATATTGTAGGAGTTGATGTAGAAAGTGTAAATAATTCAATCATTCATACTAATAAGGAATCATTCAATGATAATCAAAGTACAGATAAGTTGGAACAAAAATCTAACCATTTTTATTCAGACACTGTGAGCTCTAATGTGAGCAAAGACAAACAACAATATGGTTCTACTTCCACTTCAAAATCATACAAGAATTGGAAGGATAACAAGACTATTTCTGAAAAAATTCTTGACCAAATTAATTTACCAAGTTGTGATGGTGACTACTTGATCAAAGTTGCAAATGAGGATAGAAACTACCAAGTTAACTGCATTGAAACAAAAATGAACAAATTAGTAAATTCAAGCAGATCATCAGAAAAACAACCAGTTGAACTGTTGACCATGAAGAGTCAGAAAATGGTGCCAAAGACTACTTCAGCTTATACTGTATCTGAGAAAAGTGACAATGAGTTGATAATGAGAAGAAATTTTGTCATCCAGACTAATTTGGGTGCAGGGTCTTCCAAAAATAAATTTTTCTGCTTGGACGGCAGAAAATATGTGCTTGAGAATTCCACCAATGAAAATAAAAATTCAGAAAAATCAGGGCAAGTGTTTGCTGATCTAGAAATTGTTTTATCTGATACCACAACCAATATTAAAGTTACTACTTCTTGTGAGAATTGTAAAACTTCCCCATGTGTTTGCCAATGCCAATATTCCAAAGATACTGATCAACCAAGGTCTCACAGAACACATAGAGAGCTAAGAAAAAATGTTTGTTACAAATGCAGTAAACTATGTTGCAGTTGTTCATCTACTGAATCTAAATCTGGTGAATGGATTTGTTCATTTTGTTGTACATCTCCATGTTTGTGTACTGATAAATTTAAAGACAATGAAACAAGATATGAATTTGCATATAAAAAATGCATGATTTGTGGGGCTCATTCAAGTCATTGTACTCATGATGTAATCCTACAGGAGAAATGTTTACCTACTAATTCAGCAAAAGTCAAGGCAAAAATGAAGAAGACATCAGAGGGTTCTGCAAATTCTTCTGTACAATCCTCAAAATGTGAAGATTCTTCCCACAGACAACAAATCAATACAGCAGACAGCTTCACCAAAAGTGCTGGTAAGTTGGTAATGTTACTTGTGCTACTTAGCTAGTTACATTTGGATTGCATTGTCACTTTTGCCACATATTGAAAAATGATACCAGTTGATGAATTGACATCCAAGATTTACCCTATACTATAAATCTGCAAAATATGGTGATGTTGTATCTTAATCTAATGTATGGAAATTTTATTGAAATCAAAATTATTGAGGAAAGGACAAAAGTGCAATTCAAAGTACAGCTACTTTATTATGGAATTCAATAAACACATAATTCATGTTGAAGTTGAAATTATAAACAAAATTCACCTCTAAGAAAACAAATGCAATAAGAATGCTCTCCATTATTAATATATTCTTGAATTAAATGAAACACAATCATATTGGATACAGCAAAATTATTTAAAAAAATTTCAACTGTAATACACTTAACACAATCATGTTGAATTTGAAGTCATAAAAAATGTATCAACTTTCAGACAATATCCATAGCAGATGTTGAAAATGATCTGCATTTATTTTATTTATCCTAGAATCAAATAAACACAATCCATGTTAGATTTGAAACTAAAAAAAAGTCAATTCTTAACTCACTCAAAATCATGTTGAATTCGAAATTATATAAAATAATCACCTCTACTACAATGTTTACAAGAGATGTTGAAAATGTTCTCCATTATTTTGCAGACAGTCACTCTTCTTTTTAGATTATCATATCATATACAGGGTGTTTCATGAGAAGACTCACATAGCCAAATGGTTAATAGGGGAAATCAAGACGAGTTGATGTATATATATGAAAACATTTTTTGACCCTCCATAATGGAGATACAGGGTATTATGTGAAATTGCTATATAACTTTGATGGCCTATATTACAGAAATGATTCATCGTAATCTGCTGAAATTCGGCAGCGACGTATCTCTACTGAAACTATTCAAGATAATATATTATGAAAAGAAATATCCAGGTCCGGACTTGGGAAAATCTCACGGTTCATTGTTATGTCAAAAAAGTTCACTTTGTGATCACTTTTCTCGAAAAACTCCATCAGATTCCGAAAGATCAGACAAACTGCTATTAGAAATGCTCTTCAATTTACACGGCACACTTCGACTGGTTCAATAAATAAATATGGAACAAAATCGTTCCAATGAATTTTAAATTTCGACCTGGCTGATAACTGTCAACTTTCAACTGGTATCATGTGAATCGATTTTTTCTACATTTTTGTTGAATATTATTTGACAGAAAGATAGATGAGAAGAAAAAACACGATTCTTTTATCAGAATTCCAGATAGATATTGACTTTGTTTTATGGGTATCGCTTGAAGTAATGATAAGATATCTAGTAGGCCCTGTTTTTCATTTGTGTGACAAGACGTGACGTTTGTTGATAATTCGAACTGATAGGTAGGTACTAGGCTAGTACTATAGGTAGGTACCAACTGATGAAATTACGAAATGAGGATTCATGTGCCCATATTATGGTGATTTATCAAATTAGTTATGTCATCACTCATAAACTTAGCTCAATTTTTTGTTATTGATACACTTCTGCAAGTGATATAAGGATGCATTTGCTATTTATTCAAAGTTCCTAATGTTCATCCCCGTGAAGGTTTTAACGCAACGTATTGTTGGGTCTGGAAATATTCTATGGTATTAAACATAGCATAGCATTTGGATTTTTGTCTTGTTCAGCATTTGGAATATGAAGTGGCACCTAGAGTTCAAGAATATTTCGATCACCAGTGTTAACCTATCAACAAACGCCACGGTACATAAAATAAAAACAGTGCCTACTTTATAACAAATTTATAAAATAGAGTCAGGAGTAATCATATCTATCTAGAAGTTCGGTCAAAAAGTAACATGTCAAATCATGAAAAAAATCAGAACTACTTTGTTCTGTCAATTTCTATCCAATGAATAAAATGTACAAAAAAATCAATTTACACGAATCCAGTTAAAAGTTGGGAGTTATCAGCCAGGTCGAAAGTGAAAATTCATACGAACGTTTTTGTTCCATATTTTTTTATTGAATTGGTCAAAGTGTGCCGTGCAAATTGAAGAGCAGTTCCTATGGAATGTTGTCTGATCTTTCTGAATCTGATGAAATTTTTCGAGAAAAGTGATCACAATGTGAACTTTCATGACGTAACAATGAAACATAAAATTGTCACAAGTCCGGACCTGGATATTTTTTTCATAATGTTATTTTGAATAGTTTCAGTAGAGATACGTAGCTGCCAAATTTCAGTAGATTACGATGAATCATTTCTGTAATATCGGCTACCAAAGTTATATAGCAATTTCACATAATACCCTGTATCTTCGTTATGGAGGGTCAAAAAATGTTTTCATATACATACATCAACTCGTCTTGATTTCCCCAATTAACCATTTGGCTATGTGAGTCTTCTCATGAAACACCCTGTATAACACATGTCTTAGTTGATCCCCAGTAGGTAATACCTTGAATTTCTCATTTGATGGCTTCTTGGAGCTATATCATGTGATGGATGGACATTGTTTTCAGATGTCCCTTTCAGAAAAAATCTGGTGGGGTAGGATCAAGAGATCTTGGTGGCCAAACCAGTGGGTTTATAATGTGCCTATCATAATATTGTTCAAGAAACTGATTAGTTCCTCTAGCTGTGTGAGCTGTAGCTCCATCCTTTTGGAAATATCCAAACTGAAGTTCATCATCATGAACTTGCTCACCATATTCTGATATCTTTCAGCATTTACTGTATCCTGAAAAAAAATGGGCCATATAATTCTTCTTCTAGAAATTGCAACCCAAGCTCCAATTTTCATAGGATTTAAACTTGACTCTTTGAAATTATGAGGATTTTCTGTAGCCCAAGTATGGTCATTTTCACTGTTGATGTACAGTGTGTCCAGTTTTCGATGCTTTTGCGTGATATCTCAGTTATCTTTCGAGATAGAACCTTGCGGTTTTCGCGGTCCTGTACCACTTTTCTGTGAAACTCAAGATGGCCTAATCAGATTTTGCATAACTGTTTGCGTTTATGAGATACAGGGCGATTTTGAAAATTTATACTTTTAGGACCCCCTCTATATCTACGAAGTTTCTCAGCGAGAATGTCAAATTGGAATCTTATCCCATACAGAATTTTGCGCAGAATCCAGTGGCGCACTCAAATTTTTTTTTCTGTGTATGGTTTCGGAGATACGACTCAAACTTATGATTTTTTAAATGGAACACCCTGTATTTTATAAGCTCATTAAATTCCTCATTTTTCCCCATCGAAACGAAATATGATGAATAAATATAAAATTTTCAAAAATGCTCCAAAATCACTAAAACATAGAATTTTAATTATGGGCTATGGATTTTTCATTTAAAAAAAGTTCCAATTGAAAGAATATTTTATTTGATTCTTCCATGAAAAGGACAAAAACAATCCCAACACTAGTTAATTAGGATAACACAAAAATTAGGTACCTGATAACAACAAATGAATGGTAATAAAAAGTTCATATTCTAGAATAAGCACCTGATTTAATATTCACTAAGACAATTGAATAGTAACTTATTCATTGAATTGTTCAAATTGATGTCCACTTTCCCTCACACGCTTTCTCAATACGTCTTAATGCATTCAAAATCATTAAAGGTTGTCTTTGTAATTCCTGGAAAGGAAAACTGCCTCTGTTGTTGCACGAAGTTCTTCAAGATATTTGTGACTCTTACTGTATCAAGACGTATTGAGAAACTGTGTCAATTATGTGTTATGGGAAATGGACATCAATTTGAAAAATTCAGTGAATGAGTTATTGAATAATTCCGAAATTCAATTGTATTTGTAAATATTTGATCTGGTGCTTGTTCTACATTATGAACTTTCCATTACTATTTATTTGTTGCTATCAGGTACATAATTTTTGTGTTTTCTTAGTTAATTAGTGTTGGTATTGTTTTTGTCCTCTTTATGGAAAAATCAAAATGAATATTCCTTCAATAGAAATAAGAAAAATCCATAGCCCACTATTAAAATTCAATGTTTCAGTGATTTCAGAGCATTTTTGAGAATTTCATATACATACATTATAAATCATTTCGAAGAGAAAAAAATGAGGAATTTTATGAGCTTATAAAATACAGGGTGTTCCATTTGAAAAATCATAAGTTTGAGTCGTATCTCCAAAACCATACCCCGAAAAAAAAATTTGAGTGCGCCACTGGATTCTGCGTGAACTTTTATATGGAATGACATTTTAATTTGACATTTTTGCTGAGAAACTCCGTAGATATAGAGGGGGGTCCAAAAAGTATAAATTTTCAAAATCGCCCTGTATCTCATAAACGGAAACAGTTATGCAAAATCTGATTAGGCCATCTTGAGTTTCACAAAAAAGTGGCACACGACCGCGAAACCCGCAAGGTTCTATATCCAAAGATAACTGAGATATCCCACAAAAGCATCGAAAACTGGACACACTGTACTGTGATAGGTAGAACCAGGCTTCATTAGTGAAAAAAGTTGAATCTCGCACATCATTATCATTCAAATGCTCAGGTATCTACCTCGGCCTCTGAACGATCCTCTGAAGTTTCCTCTATAAGTCTATCCACCTCTATAAGTCTGTCCACCTCTATAGCTCTGTTCACCTCTATAGCTCTGTCCACCTCTATATTGACCTCTACTTTGGAATGTGCTTCTGCAAAATGTTTGAATGCCACCCAAACGTCTACATTTATAACATTTTCTCATATGTTGATTATTTCCTTCTCTATTCCTCTGTTCCACATATCTGGAACTTGATGCCTGTGAACTGAATACATGACTCCTGAAGTTTTCATTATTTGCTTGATGTCTGTTGAAATCAATTAATAATTTTGATTTGACATATTCAACTGTCCTTTGGTTTGGAGCCAATGCATCAACTATACCCACTATATTACTGAAGGATCGTCGTTAGGTCGTGGTAGTAGACACTCCTAAAATGATTTGTCCCAGTTGTAAGAAAAAAATTGGAAAAAC